ATTTTTTAATATAAAAAAAACTTTTTTCAAATACCAAATTAAAAAAAAAACCCCCAACTTTTATTTTTTTTTTTTTTTTTTTTTTTTTTTTGTTATATCAAGCGTACATATAGATGTTTGTCAATTTTTTACCGTATGGTTGATTTTCATTCGATCATCATCGATGCGTTGGTGTAGTGTCCATTTTTATAAAAAAAACTATGCAAGGTTATTAAATATGTATGATTGTAATTATATATACATATATATATATATATGTCGATTGCAAACATATACGCCACATCTATGTATCTCATCTGAAATCTTCTTCTCTTTTTTTTTCCTAGTTAAATTTTCAAACAATAGACAAAAGCAGAATCATATTATTAATATTGTTATTGGCAGGTGAGATATATGAGACATGTGAGAGTATTTGTTTATAGATCAAAATAGTCCGATAAATCTGTGATAAAAAAAAAAGAAGAAGAAGAAAGAAGCCGATTGTTGAAATTATTATTCAAAAAAAACGAATGGGTGATATTATTCCATCAGGAAAATATTTAAGATTACGTAATCATACGTACAAAATCAATGGAATGCTTGGCATGGGTTTACATAGTAAAGTCTATACTGCACAAGATAATCAAACACATCAGACATTAGCATTAAAAGTAATTGATCTTAATCATAAAAATATGCATGTAAAAGCAAGTACAATTTCTCGAAGACAAAGTTTTCAAAAAGAATTACGTTATTTATTACGATTACAAACAATTAATCCGTATATTGTACGCGTATTCGATTATGATATTCGAAATACTGGTATAATAGCAATGGAACAAGGATTACCATTACGTGAATATTTACCGAAACATAATTCTGTTTCATATCCAGTATTACCTCAATTAACTGTCCATCAATTTTGGAGACAATTAGTTGACGGTGTTCGATTATTACATCGATCAAGAATTGTACATTCTGATCTTAAACCAGAAAATATAATCGTATTACCAAATGGTCAAACGAAAATAATTGATTTAGGCATATCATTCACATTACCAAGAATGGTTGCAGCAAAAAGAAGAGTATGGGCGGGTACCCCTGATTATAGTTCACCTGAAATGCATAAAGTACCTAGTGGAGTGGCGCCCAAATTTGGTTATAAAAGTGATATATGGTCACTTGGAATTATTCTTCATGAAATGGCTGCTGGTTATAGACCACTTCATGCTTATACAACGAATTTTGAAAAAATTCAATATTTAAAATATTTAAAACATGATTTACCAATTGAACAAAATTTACTACAAGGTGTATATCATGCACTAACACAATGTTTGAGAGTTAATCCAAAATATCGTCTTACTGCTGAGCAATTATTTGCACATTCCTATGTAGTCAATGGTTATTAAAAAGGAAAAAAATTCTTTATTTCTAATAGAATATCATAAAAAAAAGATAGTCTATTTCTTATGTAATTCTTAATTTCATCTCTGAAATATTATGTAAGCGTTATCGTCTTCTCATTAAAAAGGTCAATAGTGAAATGATTGCAAAATTTAATTTAGAATATCTGCTCATCTTTATTGCATATGAAAAAATTGTTTCTATCCAAAATTTCAACGTAGATGTTTACAACTAAGTAATCAACTGAATGAATCATAATACTTAACGTTTCAAATAGATTATTTTACAATTCGCTAGCATTACGCACATCTCTTGAGTATATATGATTATGCGCTACAATGATGTCTGATTTATGCGTACCCCAAAAAACTATTGACAGAATATCGATGGTTTAGGAAAATAAATCGATTGTAGTGGCGAACAAGATCTCATTCGTGATGAACATAAACGAAAAAAAAATTATCATAAAGACCAACTAAAATATCTAAAGAAAAATAAAATAAAATCGAAACACAATTGATGAAAGATGTTGAATCGTTTATTAAAGATTATTGTAGTTATGCCAAATTTATATTTCTTTTTATTAAGAATAAAGTTAGCTTTGATTTGGCATTATCATATGTTCTCTCGTAGATAAAATTTTTTAAGTCGAATAAGGAACTTGGTCGCCGTATACTAGTGATGCAATGAAAATTTTTTTTATGCCGACAGATATTAGAAGTTTTTGCAAGGATTTTTGTTTTTTTATCTTGTTTAGTCATCTTTGTTTTGCAAAATGTGAACAGCGTGATCTCAAGAACTACGTCATGTAGATAAATTCTGAAAACGGGAGGTGGTTCAATGGATACTGAAGATAAATCAATGAGTGCTCTTTTTAAAAAAAACTGGTCTCAGATCGACGCCACAGGGTTCGAAAGCAGACAAAATCTGTCTTTGGGACTTAACATTTCATAAGTTCATTAGTTCAACTGGTTGTCCGGCGCCATTTGTTCTTCAGAAGAAAAATAAACTTCTCTCCTTTTTCTCTCTGCTCTATTGATATTGAATGAGTCATTTTTATTCCTAAAGTCCTAAGAGAAACTAATATTGAAAGTGGTGTAGTGAAAACCTGCTCGCTGTGGAACCAGTTTTGGCAGTTGCCAGCAGAAACAGAGTGCGTTGATATCGCAACTTGTGCGCTGAACAATTACAATCGAGCTTTACTTTATTCTTTAGTCATTTTTTTTAAATTAAAAACGTAGCCGAATGATCTGAAGATTAGCTGATTGCAGAAAAGTTTTGTAAATGGTATGCAGTAAAGTATGAGCTGCATATGAACCAATCGTAATTCATTTTTCAAACTTCCATTTCAACGACGTTTGAAAACTTTGAGTACTGGAAGTTGGACTTTTGGAAACAGTTACCCTTCCAAATTTTGACTCAGACTCTTTTCTACGAGGGATGTGAGAATATCAGTACGCAGTGTATTGTCAAAAAACGAATATTTTTTTTAAAGTTGTTGGGGCTTGCTATATTCTTATTGACGATACACGAGAATACGCAAATATATGAATTTCTTTAAAATGTGCTGGGCTTGGTCTATTCTTATTAATAATACACGACAATACAGAAATGTAAGAATTTCCAACGTGCAACTTCGATTCTAATGTCATCTACAAAATGTTGCATAGTGGCTCACTCTCATACTGCACCTCGGGGGGGGGGGGGGGGGGGGCGGCGGGGGGGGCGGGGGGGGGGGGGGGGGGGGGGGTGTGGGGGGGGGTGGGGGGGGCGGGGGGACGGC